CAAGTAGTATCAATATTCATTTAACATGTAGAAATAGCAAAATTAATTAGTAGTGGGCATATACATGTGTATCAATCTTAATCTCCTAAGTCTCCAAGCTTCTCTAGAAATTTAAACCACTTTGATTGAATTTATAGGTAATTTTGAGTGAAAAGGAATTGTGCTAATATATATATATATATATAATCGAAAGATGGGGAATGTAATTATCTAATGTCATTCATCTATTGTTAATCAAACCATTAATCTTGGTTTTTACATCACTCTATTGCACAACATTTTCCTTGTTAAAAACTTTATTGTGAATCAAGGTTCTAAATATCAACACATGCCAATACACGGGTATCGACCTGTGTTAGTACTTTTTTAATGTTTTATTTATTTATTTATTCAAAACTGGTTCAGAGAGATCGGTTGATGTCCCAACTACCCTCTAAACCATGGTCTGACCCGATACAACCCCTGTAGGGTGTATCGGGAAGCCACCGACACGAGACGTATTGATCGATACAGGCCGATACGTGTCAATACTTTGAACCTTATCATAAATGTTGGTGCATACTTATGACAATTATTAGTAAACATGTTTTTCCTTATAGGTGTTCTTAATATCATTGATACATCTGAAACTGTAAATTTCATATGCATACCCAAAATGTGTGAGCTCGTCTAGATGTTCCATTTACAAACAAGCTCATTTAAAAAAGCTTTTTCCTTTTTTTTTTTGGTATTTCAAGCATGTTGACAACATGTTGGAATGAGGTGTCCACTATTTCTATAATGATGTCATCATGAGAATGAAGTTCTATTGTTCTAATAAATTTTTAAAAAGTGTATTACATTGTTACAACCATAAATATGCATATTTAAATTAAGCAGCCTATATATGAATAACGGATTAAATTAATTAATTGACAAAAATAAAGCAAAATGGATAATGGTATATGTGTAAACATAAAATAATATAAGCATGTTCATGAGTATAAAATAAGAACCAAAATGAAGTATACTAAAATTACATTCTTTATAAAAAAACATTTAATGTGACAATTTCACCCATTTTCATTGTTTTAATCTTTTTCACCAATAAGTTGAATAACAAATAGTGTATTAAATATTAGCAACAAAAAATGTCTTGTTAACTAAGATTTCATTTAATTTTTTGTGCTTGGAGTTTTTATAGTGAAATTTAAAAAACAAAATATTATACAAATCGTCAAACATCCCTAAGTCTAAACAATTGGTTGTAAGTCTTCAATGTGTAAGATACAAATGCCTTATCAGCCTAAAAATGCATCTATAAAACAAACCAAAAAGGAGAGCCTAACCCATGTCAAATATTGCCATTGACATAGGTTAGTTCGACTTGGTTTAATTTATTTCTACCAACCAAATTAATGTTGTTGGGATGACTATTGAGTTAAGTGAAACCAATCAAGAAAAAAAAAACAACTTTTTTTAAGTAGAGTGTAGTTGTTTTATAGATTAGTTAATTTAAACGTTTGACTGAACAAAACAAGATGTGTGAATAGTTTCTCCTAAGAAATTATTTTGAATGATAATCATGAAATGGCACAACAATAAGAGTCCTACTTTTTAGTTTTTTAAGATGTTTAGCTTTTGAGATTTGAGATTGGTTTTTACTTTTTATGCATGGGAGAGGTGAGAGATTTGACCCTGTGTGTTTTGGTGATAATAAAACAATTAAGAATATTATTGGTGTACTAGAAATATAACCAATCCAAGTAAGCTTCTTTTGGCCATATCTTGTTAAATTCATCATGATAAAGAAATTGGAAGTTTAATTGTAAAGCAATTGAATACCATCATTACCTATCTAGAAGAAGAAATAAGCTCTAAGGAAGACAAGGGTCTACAAAAAACAAGAAGTATGAAGCAACCTTTGAAGTTTTGCTACATTAAATCTGCAATGAGGAATAAAGCATAAAGTCCTTAAGTGTCTTATGGGTTTTTATGCAATTGTTCATTTGAAATGCACAACACATTAAGTTCAACAAGACTAGATTCGATTGATCCAATCTTAGAAACCAATGGTTTCATGGACTTAAAAAGCTAATTAAAATGATAATGACCACTTTTGAAAGCAAAGGGAAAGATTCCCAAACTTTTGGACTGAAATTTCCAAGGTTTCTAAGTATTGGAGTTGTCGTCAGTTGACTATCCATTTATAGTCAACTACCTTTGATAATAGAGATCAGTGTAAGCCAATAGTTGATTACCCAATTTGGCATAATCAACTACCTTTCCAACTAAGGCATGAAAATTCCCTGGCACTGTTATAGTTGACTTCTTTCACAATCATAGCCAACATAATGAATTTGAACCGATTGATTGATAGGAGGAAGCGATTGACCTAAGGAGAAAAAAGATTCCTTCCTTTGTATAGTAGTCAGTTATCAACTTATCCTAGTCCACTACTATGATAAAAATTTGACCATTATAGGATATAACAACTAGTTCCGCATTTAGTATGACTTAAATCTTGTTGGGAACAAGTTTAAAACATTTTTCTATTGAGGATTAAACTATTTTTAACGGCTACAAAATGGCCACATGCTCTCAACCTCTATAAATAAGAGGTGTTGGTTTGAAATCCATAAGAGCTTACATTGTATATATTGTAGAACTCTTAGAGAGCAAGTTTTGCAAGAGTTATTTCTTTGTTTGAATATATTTCTTTGTTTCACTAGTTTAAATAGTGAGGAAAACTATGTAGTCATAAGGTTTATTTCTTTGTCTCACATGCTCTCAATCTCTTCATTATTTCTAATACAAACTAGTAGGGACTTGTGAGATGCTCAGGCTTTATTAAGAAAAATTGAAGAAAAGCAGCCCTATAACATTTCAATTGAGTAAAGCCAAACTAAGTCAAATTGAATATTATTTTTTGTGTTATGTCTAGTCGATTTAACCACTATCCAAGTTGCATCCCTAGTGAATTTAGTTAATTTCCCATTTTATTTTTCTTATATTCGTTATAATTTTAATGTATAAGTTTATATTAATCGTTGTAAATTTTACTTGTAAGATTAATTTTTATTAATTTTATTCATTTAAATTAAATATAATGGATTGATATGTTTTATAACAATTTAAATCATTAATTTAGTAAGTAGGCATTAAGTTAAATTATTTAAGTTACTAATTAAGTGATTATCTTAATTAAGTTTTTATAAATTTATTAAAATATGTTCACAAGTGATTTGCTTATTTATATAAATAATTGAATAAATACGCCATGGATTTATTAATGGGTTTTGTAATCTTATTAGTATATAGATAGAGTTGCAAGATGTATTGGATCAAAGTTGTTTAGGGGTATATCCAAGCTTGATCCAACAAGTATTCGGGAGATATGTGCTTGATCTGATTCCCAACGAATACTCAAATTTGATTTTTTGGTCATTTAAAACGCCCCCAATAGTTTTATGGATTTTCTAAAACCTACCCTATAATTTTCATTTACTAAAACACACCTATAGTTTGCAATCAATTTACTTAAACAACTTTCAATTAGATGACAATGGAAAATGATAGTTTTGACCCCAATGTTCATTTGAATAAATTTAATCAAAAGAAAATAAAACAATATGCCATTTTTTGCCCCTAGCAAGACACTAAGCACTAAAAACCACTATGTTTGACTCTATTTGGTCAATTTTGTTTTAGGTACAAAGAAGTGTAAGAGGTACTTTTGGAGTAAACAACCATGAGCCCATGCCCTTAAACAACTTCCACTCAATTTAGGTGATCATGTTACTATTTGTAGATGTCAAAACAAACACTTCTTAGTAAAAGGTTGATTAAGTAAATAAGTTGCAAATTATAAGGGGTATTTTAGTAAAATGAAAGGGTAGGTTTAAATAAAACCATAAACTATGGGGGTGTTCTAATAAATGACATTTTTTTCAACAAAAAGAAAAAGATCCAAAATTGATTTTTTTCCTATAAAAAAATGATTAAGATATCTATGAATTTGTATAAAAGTAAAGATTACATAGAAGAGGCTATTACTTAATGTTGGTTCCATCTAATTGGACTAAATCCCATGTAGATTTGCCTAAAAAAATAAATTATAAATAAAAATAGATTAATCTAAATCCCAAATGCAACTTATATCCAAATAGTTTCGACACTATAAAATATATACATTATAATTGGACGAGCACCATCTAAGTTAATCTCTCACCAATCTAGAGAAATATATGAGCCGTTTGACAAGTCTTTTTGGGAAGATCTTCTGGTAGCTCTGACAATCAGAAGAGACATTGGCTATCGTGCATATTTTTCGTGTATTTCCACGCGAGAATAAAGCGAGAAAATCATGAAAATCACCATTTAGAGCTTCCCTAATTCAGTGCAAAATGAGTTTCTCACATATTTTCAGCACACTGACTTTTGATGGATAAATCTATTACAAACCAAATGGAAAAATACCGCAGCATAGTATGCCCGATTTATACATAACCGAAAGACTGCACAGAAAGACATGCCAAACAGGGCCCTAATTAATGGTTTCCCGCTATAAGCACAGGGCTGATGTCTTATGGGCCAACAAATACATACCAAACGCAACCCATTTACAGCCTTTAATTGGTAATTTAATGAAGGCAGAAATCCCAACTTTTCAAATCAAAGCCCACCAAAGTGGTCGTATGCATCACAAGGAGTAGATGCTAACGGCCCATTTCCCTTTGCTATTACTTAATTTATTTTGTTAAATGTTGTCATAGATCACATACAAGAGAAAAGTAAAACAAAAGCTAATCAAGGGAAGATAGGCACATGAACGTCCCAATTTTGGCATCACTTAACCAACTCAGAGCATAACTAAAATGTAAGTCATCTCATATCATAGAAGCCAAAAACCATACTCAATTAATCCCTCTCCAATTTCAACCTATCCCTGAAAACTATATAAATAAATATAAGCTGTAACTTTCTAATCTAACTAAATAAATAAATCTTCTCATTTATACACCTTCTTATAAGCCCAAGGCTTTCATTCTCTGAACAGTCCCTCTCCACCGTCCCGCGATTGCAGGGCTTTGTTCGTTCCTTCCCTCCTCTCTTTCTTTTTCTTTCTTTTTCTTTCATTTCGGAGCCCTCGATCGAATTGAACTAATCCTCCATTGACACAAATCTTCTGCAAATCCCCAAAATATCCTCTCAATAAAGGGCATGTTCGACCTTTGATCTCTCATTTGGTTTCTCAGATTCGCCACGGAGAATCTTTCCAAGGGAGTTGAGATTTCTAGGGTTTCTTCCTGTTGTATTTTGGGCTTCCTTTCTGGTTGGTTGGGAGGCTTACTTTCGAGGGCTCTGGTCGTCTTGGGTCCTTCGTAATAGCAGATCTGAGTTTCGGAGACTCGTGGAGGCGATTTCGCAGTTCAATTGCGCCTGTCAAGATGTTTTGGCGTATGGCGGGATTGTCCACCGCGTCTCCTGTGAGTTGGCGTTGTTAAACCTTCATTTCTTTAGATTATTCTTCTGGTTGTTTGATTGAATTTTTTAATTTTCGTTTTTTTTTTCTAACGGCGAAATTGTTTTTGGGAGGAATTTCTCTTGTTCTCAAGCTATACAAATTGATTGCTTATGTTTTTTTTTTTGGTTTTTTAGCCCGTCAGTTTATGCTCATGAAATGGATAATTTTGTAATAGAAAAATTCCGTTTATTACTTGTAAATGCTACGTTTGGCCAGATTGCCACTTTCCGGCCCGAAGGATTGAGCTATTCTTTTAATCAGTGATTGAAAATTGAAATGCAATTTTATTAGTTATTCTTTTTGGTTCATTACCTCCTTTTTCAATGGAAGTGAAGCTTGAATGGAAGTCATATTTGGTTAGGTTTGAAGAGCACGTTTTTGAAGAAAAAAGATTGAACTTCTGTTATCGTTGTGGTATAAAGGCCTAATTTTCAATTTTCAGTATTCTTGTCTTGGAATGGGGTTTAATAGATGACAGGAAAATTGTTGGGGCACCTGTAAGAATGAGTGCTATTTGGGGCATTTATGGAAAATTAATCCTACTTCTGGTGGAATTTTTTTTAGTTAGTATAATACCGTCCAGTGTTCTATAGGAAATTCAATATCATTGGATTCATAGAACTGTCTTGGAATCTCTTAGGTGTATATGGTTTATAAATCTACATTTCCAGCCTGTTATTGTTTTCTTTCTCTTGATAAATACTTGTTATTGTATTTCTTGGTAACCTTAAAATTTTTTGAAACTAAGTTCATATTTAAGTAAGACATTTTTCCATGAACATGTATTCTTCCATTTGGATGTATAAATTTGTCATTATTTTTGGTCAGTAAAATGTATACATTTGCCAATTGAATGTATTAAGTTTATTGTTTGTTAAAAATTGGCTGAAACTCTTGCTACATGGCTGACTCATTTCCTTTGATAAGTCTACTTGTTTGATTTGACTCTTCTTAAATATTGAATTCTGAATCAGGGATTTCTAATATAGTTCCTTTATGCAAGTGAATCAGTAAGCATTTAGCTGTCAACTTTGAGAGTCCTTCCTGAATTGGCACATATGATGTTCAGTTTTGGTTGAGTTGCTGTTTCAACCCAATATTTGATCTCATTACATTGTGGTTAGAGACCTGATTCATCTATAATGAAACTTTTTATCTTAACTAGTAACTTGACTTCTACTGTGCAATTGCAATTAGACCTGTTCAT